TATTCGTTTTAGGACGGGCGCGGCATCGAAAGTGGGACGCCATTTGCCATCTACCTGAGGGACTAGGAGGTTTACGGTCATGGCTCGCCATTGGTGGTATTCTTCGGCTTGGGCTTCGTTCTTAACAGCTGTACCTTGTTAGCATTGTAATCATTAGAGATTCACCGGGGGCGGGGTAGCGTACCCTTGCGCAATGTGTCGTTAATCTCGCGCAGCTTCCTGTCTCCCAGTTTGCCTGCCCATACATATCCACTGCCCTTCTGCCAGTTGTTGAATATCTTTTGCTGCAGCTTCATCCAAACGTATGCTTGGATGAGGAGCGGCCGTTCCTCTGGGTGCTTCAGATACGTCTGGTAGTTGTCCGTGAGGTTCCCAAACAGTTCCTTCGCTCTAGTGAGATATGGTCGCTTGCTCGTGGCTTTGATGGGTCCGCCGAAATACTCCTCACTCCATACTCGTATCTCATATCGCAACGCGAGTAGCTCTTCAATCAAAGTGTTCTCTTCAGATTTGTACACGATCGAACGTTTTGCAGGCATCCCATGTGGACCCATGCTCCTCCTCTGCAGCTGTTTCCTCAGCGCATCTCGCTCTTTTGTGACTTGGTAGTACCGCTGTATGAGATCATCTTGGCTGTTACCCCTCGACGCGTCTGGTCGCGATGGGCTTTTGGGCGGTACGAGGGGACTGATAGTCGCGCTCAGTCGTTGCGGGCTGCCCAATGCCGATGATTCGTCGGATGATGTCTCGGCCGATGTCGCTGTAACTTTCTCGAATTTGAGCGGTGGTATGTAGGGCGCCTTCCGTCTATGCCTGGGTATCAGGACCTCCTCGTCAGACCATTCGTCTCCGACTTCGGGGAATGGATAGCCTTCTTGCTCCATTACAGGTGATTCAAGGGTCGATGCAGATTGCGGTTCTTCAATAACTTCGGCGGAGGGGCAGGTCAGTTTGAGCGACTTGAGGGTAGAATGGCGGACGTCTATGAATGCGACTCGGTCAGCGCGCTATATCCCAATAGCCCCAAATGCCCACACGCACCAGGAGATAGAGTCGCCATCTCAACAAAGACTGAGCATGTTTGCCCTTCTGGTATGCGCTCAATGTTGATCCCGCGAGCGGTGAAGCCTCTTGGTAGTCTATGCTGCTATGCGTCCGCGCAGTCTCATCTCAGATCAGCTTCGGACAAGCTCGCAGCGGGGCCGGCGATGTTTGTGGCCTTGGGAGAGTAGACGGAATAATCTGGACGAGTTGACGGGCACGCCCTCAGCAAGGAAGATGGCATGGCGCAGGCAAGCTTTGCTGCTATCTAGCCCAGCCTCGCCGCGAAAGGCAGCCCTGGCGGTTCAGCATGAACCACTAAGAGCGGGCAGACGACGAAACGAGCTGCAATCACACCAGTGACGTGTGACGAAGTGCATGCAGACGGCGATGGGTCCACGATTGGGTGAAAAAGAGGAGGCTGTCGGCATCTTCGCTTATCTAGCGTGCGCCTGTCACCTGAACCGCGACGGGACGACTTCGGGATCCACCTGAACCATGTTCTTGCCAGCAACAACACGTCTTTTCGTGTTCACGACCGTCTGACACGACATGTTCACGAACTCAATTCTGCTGTCATGGTAACTTGGCAATATACGCAATTTCCGACGCGCCAAAAGCACAGCGCGCAAAGGCCGCTCGGGCGCTCTAGAGGACGATAACAAGCTCCATCCTGGAGTACCAGAATACCTCCGGCCTCCGCATTCTCCACACTGCACATCACCAATCATCTTCGGGTACCTTGCCTAGTACCTTCCCCAGCCCCTTCATTGCAGGAGAGCAGCAGTCACCCCATCCCTTAGCTTCAATGAGGTCCCTGTCTTTGCCCAGCAATTTCCCGGCGGTGGCTCGTCAACCTTGAATGCCGCTGAATTACACCTATCACCCCCAGCTTGTAGGTAGTTCCAATTCGAGCAAAGTGCAAGACATGTATTGAGGTCTAAGACGAAGGCCTTGATCAGTGTCCGCCCGTCGGTGTCAAACCCACAATGCTTGATGAATTCGTATTGTCCTGGATTGCCCTCCGGTGCCCTGGGTGTGAACGATGTACTGTTGCTGGCTGGGCAGTCCGTGGTTACGAGGGAAGGGGGTACACTCGTGGGTTTAGAGGAGGAGAAGCTCGGTGGTCCGGAGGACGTTCGATCACTTGAGCCGCCTGTGCTGGGCAGAAGTATAGCGGTTGGTGCGCTGCTCACACATTAGTATACATTTGCCAATGGTTTCTCTAGGCATGGGGGAACTACCTCTGCACAGAAGATGGTGGCGCATTTTTCCTGTTCCCTTTGACTGCTAGCGAGCCACCTACAGCTCCGCCCACAGACGCAGCGATTACGACAATGCTTACAACGACCAGTATGGACCAGAAGAGCCACGGTTTCAAACTTCCGATCGATTTCGACTGGTTCTCTTTGAGCGTGGGGTTTCCCGTAACGACATGTTGATAAATCCAGGCTTCCTTCCCTTCATCTTCGTGCTCCACGGCGTGCAGACCTGATCCGACCACAGGGAGACCGTCTCCACCACAAGGTTCCGGTAGGTTATCGCACTCGATGTGTCTCGACATGACACTGTGAGTAGTCTGAATGGGCTCAAGATTGTCTGCCTGCTGTTGACCTTGATCTTGATCTTTGAACGAAAATCCCGTAGATGTAAAGAGCTAAATAAATGTCCAGCATCTATTGAAGGTGTTCGGATTGCATGGGTTCAGTTGGTAAAAGCATATCTTATTATATGGTTGCGTAAAAGCGCTGGGTGTGTAACAGATACGATGCCACATAGGGGCGAAAATTCTAATATAATGTGAGATACGAATAGAACTGAACAACATTGCCTGAGAGCAGTTATACGATCACACGACGCAGCTGTCTATTTACATCCAATAATCTTATATAGAAATGGGGCTGGGAAGGGTGAACCTGGGGTATGCCTCCAAGGCTGACTGCAAGTATCGGATGGGGCGGTTTTTCCAAATTTGACCTGGTCCGAGAAGACTGAGACGTTGCTATCCTCACTGTCGGTTTTCGTTCCAAATTACCCTCTCACTCTTATGGAGCATGTAAATCCAGTCAGGAGGTCCGGAGATGCCTCCATTCCCGTGCAAGTCAGCATCCCGCTGGTTCTCATTGAACTGTGGACGATAAGCGCCTCTGTGCTGCCTGTGATAAGCACATTTTTGTGGATCCCAGTCTCTAATTTTTTCCGTGCACCCAATGCATCTGAGTATATAGAACTGTAGCCGGTAGATCTATGGTAAGTGTCGACGAAGCGGAAGGGGGACGTGAACTAGGAATTAGGAACTCCGAGGTCACGAATCAAGCTTGCGCTTTCGGAATCGCGATGTAACTTGGATGTGCAGGGCAGTCGAAAAGCACGGCCAGTCACAACAACTGACCGACGCCGTTCTGGTACCTATCAACTGAATGAATCGAATACCGCAAATGATTCCTTCCGGTCAGTGTGCTTATTTCTGACCGTCAGATTTTGTAGCTGGAAGCAGTTATCACTGTGACAGGACGTTAGCATGTGATACTATGACGACACAGGGTCCACATCCGAAGCTGGAGACCTCGGAGCACGTTTAGGCCGTCAACGGGAGTGGCATATGAAACTTCCATGCATGTACCGAGGTGTCTGCTGCTGTTAACCTTTGAAAGCATTGGTCGGATAGTTCTCGGAGGAAGATTGTTGATCGTCGCTAAGGCCCAAACGGGTAACGGCGGCCCGTCAGCTAGCGGGGCGAGAATCGCAACGAACACCAACGCGCGACGGAACCAATTCCTCCCCGGGGGCCGATCCACCCTGTCGAAAACTTCAAGACTCTCATGCAGACTATCGCAAACCGTCCCCGAGCATGGTAGAATCGAAAGTCGGCATATCGTCTAATTCGCCGGGCTCAGCAAGCAAACCCAGCGGAGGACGACATCGCGTCATCTCCTCTTGTTTGACATGTCGGCGCAGGAAAGTCAAATGTGATCACGTTCATCCAGTATGCGGTTCTTGCATGCGAGGAAGTCATGTGTGTACCTGGACAGATCAAATACCGGCATCCACTACTACTGGAAGGATTTCGAAACCCACGGCTGGGGCCACTGGAAAGACCGGGAAAGGCAGTGACGTGCAAGCCCGGTTAGACAGACTCGAATATCTTTTAGAGAAAGCTGTTGCGGGACAGGGGGCGAAATCCACGGCATCCGTACGGTCCAGTGTTGAATTAGACAGGAAAGAAGTGGAGGCGCTGACCCCATCGTCGAATAGTCAGACTTCCCATGGAGGAGGAATCGCTTCTGATGGTGGCGACGGGACCCTCTTGTTGAACGATGGGCAGTCTCAGTTTGTCTCTTCTCTGCATTTTGCATTACTGGCCGATGAGGTGAGTGCCGCTTTTCGACATGACAGAACATCGCTCCGAGTTGCACCGAGCGAAAGCTACATTCATTCTTATTGTATTTCTCTGTTTCTAGGAATTTTGAACAATACTGATTGAGCTTTAGATACAAGACATCAAGGCCTTGCTTGGTGATAAGACCGACGAAGAGAGGAAGGAAGTGCCGCAGAGCAGTCTGGTTGACCTACTTTCCCTCGGTCGCGCAGGAGCCGGATCAAATCTAGAAAATCTGCTACCGAGCACAAAAGAGCACCGTGACACGCTGTTGGACGTCTACTTCGCAAATGTAGATCCTATGGTGAGGATTACCCATAGGCCAACGGTGATGCGCAAATTTTCCACCTACAACAACGAAGCACATCCTATGGCCTATGCCATCTACTTCTCTGCGATCAACTCTCTGCCTCCAAAGGTAGTACACAACAAGTTCGGCGAGACAAAGGAATCACTCCTCGATCGATTTCAGCTGGGTGTTGAGATCTCACTGGCTCGGGAAAACTATCTCACAACATCGAATCTGGAGATATTCCAGGGATTTGTATTATGGTTGACCTGTATTACCAGAGAAGAAGATATGGGTAAGTGTGCTAGATGTTTATAGTTCTGCAACGCTCACACACAAAGCAGGAAAAGCGTGGGTTCTGATAGGCATTGCATTTCGCATCGCTTTGAATCAAGGCCTGCATCGAGATCCATCGTTATTTCCGACCGGCTCCATGGACGCTCTGACTATTGAGCTACGTCGGCGTATGTGGCATCAACTAGGGCATTTGGAGTTCCGGGCAGCAGAATGCAAAGGGCAGGAACCGAGCATCACCGAAGACTTCTACACGACGCTATTTCCACGAAACATCAACGATGAGGACCTTGTAGATGGGGCAAGTCCCGGTCCGGCCCCGTATGACGAACCGAAGTTTACTACTATGACGTTCCAACTTGTCCGGTTCAACGGCATGCGAGCTTTACGGCGTATAGTTCAAAGCACTTACCGCCTTGAACGCCGCATGCTGGACTCAGGACTCCATGGAACATCTCGTCCTGATCCAGCACAAGAACTCAGAGATCTTTATGAGCAGATCAAAGTGATGCTCGACGAAGTTCATGAAGAGAATCAGCGAAAATATTTGCATAACCTTAACCCAGAGGTACCAATGGAGAGGCTGACGCTGGGACTGGCTTCACTGTTGGAGTGGCGTGCCTACTTACTGTTTTGGCTTCGGATGCCGCGTGCTTACCGCGACGTAGTCTTTTCGGACGAGATCCGCCGATCGTACGTTTTAGTCAGGTGCTAATGAGAGAAACAACAACGGCTGACAATGCTAGGATCTTCGAGAAGTCGGTAAACTGCGTCGAAACACTAAACGGAGCGGCAGCCGATGTCGATGCTGCTCGCTTCCAATGGCACATTGGTCCGTAGCCCCGACAATACCTACCCAGTGAGACACAAGAGCTAACTTTCAAAGGAGGAATCGCGTCTTTCCAAGCCATCATGCATATCCTATCAGAACTCCGCAACCCCCTTTTCAACGCACCTGACCGCCAACGCGCTCTAAGAGCCCTCCAGATGTCTCGTATCCTCCGCGAGAACAACAGCGCCAAAGCATGGCAAGCAGTCAAAAACATGATCGACAAGGCCGTCTCAGAACACAATCTCTCGCCAAGAGGGCCGCCGCAGCCATCGACTACCTACGTCAGCCAACCCATCGTGCCTTCCATTCCCGTGCCGCTGAACAACAACGCACCCAACAGCAACACGGGCGTATATCCGGCAATGCAAGGCATCCCAAGCTACGCCTACCAAAACCCGTCTGCAGCTTATAACCAACAAAACATGCCAGGGCCATCTCAACCAGAACCCATGCAGACTCAACCCGACTTGCTACAGTCCATGCAGTCCATGCAAGACAATGCGCCTTGCTGGGACGACATCAATCTCAACAACATCAACAACATCGTAGGCGACGTACAAGCTAGCACGGATGTAATTCCCGACTTTGATTTCGTAAGTGACCATGACATGATCAGGTAGACAGGGTCATTTGGCTAACAAAACAAGGGTTTCTGGGGCGACCCTTTTAACTACGAAAATGAACCTGCAGCCATGCCGTTGCAAGATGGCTACTTTCCTCAGTGGAGTGGGGGAATATGAAGGCAACGCACCAAGTCGCACGAATAACTTCATTCACAACTCCAACCCAAAGGACCGGTACCGTAGCGCGGTCATTACGTCCACGAGGGGCTCTTCCCTAGGTAAGAGCAGACGACGAACTTTCACTCATCATCTTCGCCAACCACTCTACTCTCAATGATATCTGCCACCGACGCATCATATGGTTCTCCAAACTCCCATGGATGATGCCGTTGTTCTCAAGCGAACCGGTGACCCTTTTAGCGCTGTCTCGGTTTTCGACGCGAGTCGGACATGGGCTAAGGAGGCCTAATCCACCACTCTTACTGTTCATGTGTTGTGTTTAGTATGGCGTTTGCTGGAGGTCCGCCCTGGACGACGGCTAGAACGGACGGATATGTACGTGTTGGCATAGAGCTCAAGGGTCATTAGGGTCAGGCGTTTCATAGATCGAACATAGAGGAGCGGGTCTTTGTGATAAGGTTAGCTGTAGGAGTCGAACATCAAGAAAGCATCCGATTACATGGACACGTAAAGACAAGCCGCATGCAGTGTGTTTGTGCAAGCCGTAGAATTAAGTTGGCGAATGGCAAAAGCATCAGACGTCCATGTTATACAATTAGCAAGCGCATAGTCGCTCAACCAAGTTCGTACGTAAAGTGCGAGCGAACCGAACAAGCTCTATCAAGAAAGACAGCTCCCTTGCATACCATATGCATGGCAACCCCGTAGAAACGGCACGCCAGCCCGTCTACTCGTCCTTGACACCGCCACGGCCCGCACGCTCAGCAGCCTCAATGCTCTTCTTATCCGTCTTGATCTCGCCGCCGCTCATGGCGCCCATCATGCCACCAGCCGCCTTCCACGGCCTAGCGAGGTCACCGGTTGCCGGCTGGCCGAAGAGGTGGACCTTGACGAGGTTGCCTTCGAACGCGCCCTTGAGGGGGATGATGGACTGGATGAGGAGCGGGTTGGTGTACTTGAAGTAAAGGTGCATCACGCCCATCATGCCGACACCCATTAGCTGGGCCTTGAAGAGCTCGCGCAGCTTCTGCAGGTCGTAGGCTTTGACGGTGGTAGCGACGAATTTCGGTTCTTCGCCTGAGCCCATCGGGGCCGGCTCGACGTATTTGACGACAGTCATGTCTGTGGTGTGTTGTTAGTCGCTGTGTCGGTCTACCCTGGGCTTTCTTTGCACGCACCATTCTTCTTGTTGATCTGCGCCTGCACGTAGAGGTAGATACCCGCGATGATCAGGTTGGAGACGATGTAGAGCGCGCGCACGCCGTTGAGGACAGTCGGGTCGTCGAAAGGTATCTTCTTGGAGATTTGCATAAATCCCAGGATGATGACCAGGTTGGAACTGCAGTCGAGTTAGCAAACTGTCTTCAACACCGGGCGCAGTGGATCCGGCGTACATTTGCGGGCTGATTGCCATTGTGACGTTGGAAGCGGATTGTTGGGGTGAAGAATTGAAGGTCGCTTTCGCGATCGTTTGACAAGAAACTGGGGGTAGAGATGTGGTTGCGCGGAACGTGGGTGAGAGGGTTAAGAACAAGCGGGCGACTTTTGTGGTGGGCGAGGGTCATCATTAGCGCGCGACCCAAGAGGCCAGGTTGTTGCCCGCCGCTGGCTAGCCCCAACAGGCATTCACCCTTCTAGTCTTATCTAATGCCTTCTCTAGACACATAGGGCGAGAACGACACAGAAGTTTTGGTGCGCGTCACGAGTATAGAAGGTGCACAGGTCTATGATGGAAGATTGAGAAGGCCATTCGCGCCTTCTGATCGTTCTGATGCAGGGTATCTCATCTATAGTCCCCAACATGCATATGCCATAACAAATCCAATATCAAGCCATACTCTGTATGTTCCAATGACGCCGCGCTAATGATTCAAAACTCCCTCGCCGGCTTCGTAGACACCCAATCGCGAAACGGTGTCGCGGCGATATGCAATGCAAACAACCAACGAACAAACAGAGAGGAATCTCTCCCACATACACAAATCCTGCCTTCCTCACATCACCAGACATTCGCGATCCGGCCTGTTCTTGTCCTTATTCTTCCCTTTGTCTAGGACTGTACCAGGCTCCCTACTCTTGCTCCTCCGTCTGTCTTTCTTCTCCTTCTTGCTCTTGCTGCCCGACAGACCTGCTTCTTTCTTCTCTTTGGCTGGAGAGTGGCCCTGTTGATCGTTCTCTACGCTCTTCACTTTTTCAATCACAATGTGAGGCTCGTCGCTGGGAGCAGCTTCAGTCGTAACCAGCTTGTCCTTGCTACCGCGTCCCGTTAGCCTCGATAACGTAAGAGACAAACGAGTCTCGCCGCTTGGACTACCTGGTCGACTTCTGTTGTTCCCAGATAACCATATTCGAGAGCCGCGCCGGGATACGGACAAGAAGCTGCTCTTCTGATCATCTGGTGTTTGCGGTTCAGTTCGGCCACGTAGGCTGCCTTCGCCATCCTCGATCGCGGTGCTGCTGCGCCGGTTGCTGGACATGCTGGTTCGACTAGCTGGCTCGTCTGTAGAATTGGATTCAGTATGCGGATCTTTGATGTTGAAGTTGTCGTTCTCTACACTGGCCTCGGCATCCGCGGCTGTTGTAGAGGGCAGGGAAGCCAGCGTTTCTCGTGAAGGGTCGACGGACGGAACTCCTGATTGCGCTTCTGCATATGTGGGCGGATCTCCCCGGGAAGCGAGCTCTTCATCAATAGGCTGCACTTGGTAAAAGAGCAGATACGGTGACTCTTCTCGCAAGGCTGTCTTAATGTCAACTTCAGTCACCCGTTGGGGCGAGAGATCGTCAAAGCGTATCCACTTTTCCAGCTCTTCCTCCGAATCTGATTGCGCGGTGCCAGGTCGTTCGCGAGCGTTGGCACGGACAAGCGCAATATAGTGGCCAGAGTCGACTGATACGCCCCGATGACAGACGACAGACTGGAGGACAAGTTTGAAATTGCCAAACAGCGGACCTTCTTCTTTCATCCGATCATCAGATATGAAGTGAGGTAAACCGATATCAAGCGGAATGTCGATATATGTATTCAGACGCTTTGGAGCGCCGTGCGGCGTCATCGTGTATCTCTTCAGGCATATGCCGAGAACCGGACGCTTCACCGAGAAATGCGCAGCGACTTGAGCATCGGTCTTTGGTACATTGTCGGTATACCAGGGGATGAGACTGAAAAACTGCCAAGCCGGCATGAGAATCTCCTTCTTAAGTAGAGAAGCTGATCGTGGTCGGCCGCTAGAGCTGTTGTCCAGCATGTCTTCGACATGCTTCTTCTCATCAAACTTGCTCGTTTCCTGTGACTGACGTGTGTATCGCTGGCTGAAGATACTATCAGCGCGACGGCGGCCTTGCAGATTTGGTCGCGTTGGAGTTAGTGGTGTGCTTGGCTCGTAAGTCATAGGCGTAGAGACGAGAGGGGTCATCGAGCCCTCCATCTCCATCGTCTCTATATGTATTGTCTCATTCTTCTCAGGATCCTTGTCTACGAATTCTTCGTCTTTGGACTTGATGGATGCTATCGTATTTTGCCGTTGCAGGTATCGCTTGACCTCGATTCTGTTGTTGAAATAGGTTTCCAAACAGTCTTCCAATGTGACAATGTGATCGCCCTCTTGTTCTGGAATGGCGACTTCCAGCAGCCGTTCGTTGACGAACTTGTGGTCATCTTCCTTGTCTTCGCGTCCGGTGTGGTAGATGTCCATCTTGAGGGTGAGTAGCGGCAGCTCGAGCGCACCAGTGATGAAAGTGAAAGCTTCCGAAGCGTCTTGTTGACGGACCTGTGCAGCATCTTCCCATCCGCACTTGGCAAGCGAATCCTGCAGATGCTTTGTCTACGATGTGCGTTAGCCACGAAGGCGTTGGATGACGAGGTAGGTCGTACCAAATCGACCTTGATGAGCTGACCACTCCTCAAGAGATTGACCCATAAGCGCAAGACAGCCGCCAATTTCTTCCTTGGCTCATCCTCAAAGTTGTCGTACAACATGGCCTCAAAGCTGTCGAGACGCGCGAACATGGCAAACAGCAGTGCGTCCAGATAGCACGTCACCATGTTCCGGTTTATGGCGCCCAGCATGGTCACGTCAGGACTGAAGTCCTTCAGCTCGCCTTCGAGCGATTCGTTGGCGAGCACTAGAAGATCGTAGGCTTTGTCGATGTCGTTGGGGTGCCAGGCGAGGGCATGTTCGGCCTGTTCCTCTCCCATGCTGGTTATGCCGGCGCCTTGTAGGCGTGAAAGGAGCATCTTGACCTGCAGCCGGTTAGCCAGGTTGCATGCAGCCTCGTCCCCCCGCGTACCTTCTTCTCGGACTCATTGTTCGCTGGCGGTCTGGGACCTTCGCTCGTGAATATTCTGTAGAGGTCGGGCGAAGCATTGGTGGATTTGGACTGTAGAGACACATAGTCAGAAGAATGCGATGTGGAAGGTGGATCGGCGTTGGGTGTAAGAGAAGAAGCACGGCATGGTAGCTTCTGGTGTAGAAATAGAAGACTATCCTCTACCGATGTTCGCAGTACAAATGGGAGCTTGTGGTACAGCGTCTCGATGCCGGCAGACAAGCGCCGCTGGCAGCTGGGCGCGTCTTCCGGCAGCGCAACGGCGGCAGAGCATAGCAAAGGACTGAGAGAGTTGACAGAAGCGAAAGAGCTCAGGCGTACTTTGGTATGGGCGTGCTTGGACGCGCGCTTCTCATGATGCTTGTCGCGCCGGCTGAGAAAGCGTGACATGCCGTTCATGGTGGTGGACGGTGAAGGCGAGACCCATTCAGTGACGGGAACGCGACGGTGGGTAGCGGGGCAGGTAGCGAGCTTGGGTTCGGTGGTGGAGGAAGGTGCAGACGAGCCCTGCGCCCGGTGGTCGGTGGGGAAGCGAGAGGGTGTTTGGGGGCTGGCTGGCGGCCGATGGGAGTTTGTCGGTGAAAGCGCAATGGTGACGCGCGGTCAAAGGAGCGGCCAACAGACAGTGACCTCAACGCACGACACAAAAAGAAAGACACGAGCACAGCATGTCCCCGATGCCGATCAGCCGCATTGTCGCGAGCTGACGTCCGACCTGGAGCAGTGGCAGGTGCGGACGAGTGGGGTAGCCCTATTGGCTAGCTGCGGACCCCAGAACCGCCCATCCCTGCCGCCCTCGCGTCTCGCGTATAGCGTATTCCGAGGAAAAGTCCGTTCGAGACGCTGTCGCATGCTGTGAGGCCCGTACCCACGACGACGCCGCATCACACACCCATGGCACTGCGCGAGCTGCCATTCCGCACGGCCACGGCCCTCTACAACAGCACCAGACCCGCCATCCGCGCGGCTGTCCCCGGGTGCTGCCGCAATGCCTCGTCCGAAGCAGTCCGAGAAATTGAAGACGCCTCATCATTCGAGGTCCCGCCGCCATCGCAGGAACTGGCAAAGAACTACGACCCCGTAGCGCGGAGTCGGCTGCGGAGGAGAGGAAACAAGCAGCTGCCGCCAAGCAGGTACGGCCGCTGAAGCATGCACCAGCAGACACACGAGCTCATACATGCCAGATACCAATACCGATCTCCCAAATACTACCGCGGCCCTCTCCACCCCCACCAGCCGCCTCCCGAGTCGGATCCCTCTTCGCGACTCTTCCAGCCTGGACCCTTCAGCCTGTCCCGTCTCGAGCAGACCTACCAGAGCAAGATCGCGTCCGATCTCCTCACCCTCACATATCAGCACTACCCTCCCGGTTACCGCGCTCCCAAGACGGAGCAAAGACTACGAGAATGGACTGGCGACTCCCCGTACTTCAAGAACCGCCCCCTCAGGCCTCCACGAGGTAAGGGTGAGGTGCTCCGGCTGCTTCAAGAGCCCCGCACTTTCCGCAACATACCCAAGATCACAGGCGTCACAGTCCACTCCATGGTGCCAGAAGCGCAAGAGAACAGCGGGAATCTGCACGTCGCAGGTATGATCCTGCAGGCCATCAGCAATGTACGAGCCGTGTCGCACAAGGCGAGACACAATGTCGTTGGGTGGGGCTTGCGTGCGGGCAGATATGTCTCGGTGACGGCCAAGATGGAGCGGGAAGATGCGGAGCACTTTCTGACAAAACTCATCGATGTGGTCCTGCCAAGGATCAAGGAGTGGAAAGGCGTACCAGGTTCGTCTGGGGACGGACACGGTAACATGAGCTTTGGTCTCACCCCAGACCAACTTGCCCTCTTCCCGGAAATTGAGGTCAACTATGATGCGTGAGTCGGCTGTCCTCTATTAATCTGCGCTCCGACTGACACAGTTCAGATACCCACCCAAGATGATTCCCGGTTGCCACATCACCATCCAAACCGATGCCACCAACAACAAGGACGCACGTCTACTCCTCCAATCCATTGGAATCCCATTCTACGGCAAGCTCAACGACTAACTGTAGATCTCCGACTATTGTGTATAAACTGTGTAGAACATGTAAGAATTATATACGTCTTACGATACATTGCATCTATCGCATGTATCCATCCCGCATTTTGATTCTGTCGAGTCGAAGAAAGACCCTGGTAAACCGCGCAACGAAAAATGAGAACAAGATGGACAGTTGTAGATTGAGCAAGATGAAGCACAAAATAGGACTCTGTCTAACCATCATGTATGCCCGCCGCGAATGTCTTACTATTGCGAAACATGCACTGCAACATGGTTGAATGTTGAGGACCGCGGCTTGAAAACATACATCGCGAGCAACACCATGTTCAGAAGCACAGTATTGGGATACGCAGACCAAGCAGAATCACCGTATATGTAAATATTCGGCCTCTTCATCTCGACATGAGACTGCAACCTATCGGGATGTGCCCTCGATAGACGAGTTATTTTCGTGAAGTTGTCGGGCGCGGACGGACCCTGGCACGAGATTTTAGGTTGGCCAAGCTCCCCCGAAGAACTCCCGCCATGTCGCAGCTTCGCTCAGACCGCTAACCACCACTAAACCGACCCGCGATACCCTCCAAAAACCCCAGAGTTGCTTCCGTGACCACCATACCCGTCACGATGCAGGCAATCCGGCAACCCATGCGCTCTGCGCTCTCAAAGGCCGCTACCAGGCAGTATGCGACCGCTTCCTCGCAGTACGCCGAGACGATTAAGAACCTTCGCATCAACGGCGACACCAAGGTCCTGTTCCAGGGCTTCACGGGAAAGCAGGGAACGTGAGTGCGACTGCAAGAGCGCGTGGTTGGAAGAGGGGCTAATGCAGGACCAGCTTCCACGCACAACAAGCCATTGAATACGGTATGCGCAACGGACCCGCTGATATAATCCTGTGAGGGGGAGGACTGACAGGGCGACAGGCACAAAGGTTGTTGGAGGCACAAACCCCAAGAAGGCGGGCACCGAGCACCTTGGACTGCCCGTCTTCAAGAACGTAGCAGAGGCCATGAAGGAGACTCAGGCTTCCGCTACTGCCATCTTCGTTCCGTACGCCATACCCCACAGCCGCATACAGACCATGCGATCTAACAGACTTGTAGCCCGCCAGTCGCTGCTGCCAGTATCGAGGAGGCTATCAACGCCGAGGTTCCTCTGATTGTGACGTAGGTGTACACATCAAACTCGGATACTTGGAAACTTACAACCGACAGTATTACTGAGGGTATCCCGCAACACGGTATGAACTACAGACATGGTCAACGAGGCACATATACTGATTGACGCAGACATGGTCCGCATCACAGACATGCTCAAGACACAGAACAAGTCTCGCATGGTTGGTCCCAACTGCCCCGGTATCATCGCTCCCGTACGTTCTTTGCCTACCTCTTCCAGTCGGGATGTGACGTTGACTTGAATAGGGTCAATGCAAGATTGGTATCATGCCAGGCTTCATCCACAAGCGCGGCCGCGTCGGTATTGTTTCTCGTTCCGGAACCCTCACATACGAAGCCGTCAACCAGACCACCCAAGCCGGCCTTGGCCAGTCACTCGTTGTCGGTATCGGCGGCGACCCCTTCTCCGGAACCAACTTCATCGACTGCCTGAATGTCTTCCTGAAGGACGAGGAGACTGACGGTATCATCATGATTGGTGAGATTGGTGGTTCCGCCGAGGAGGATGCCGCAGACTTCTTGAAGGAGTACAACACTGCCAACAAGCCCGTTGTCAGCTTCATCGCTGGTATCTCTGCACCGCCAGGCAGGAGAATGGGTCACGCTGGTGCCATTGTTAGCGGTGGAAAGGGTGATGCCAACTCCAAGATCACCGCGCTTGAGGCCGCTGGTGTCACTGTTGAGCGCTCCCCCGCCAAGCTAGGATCAACTCTCTACGACCAGTTCGTCAAGCGCGACTTGATATAAGCAGTCATAACGATGTTTCATTGAACTGCTTGAACGTGCCGGCTTGCATATTGCGGCTGCTGCATTAGGTCCATTGTACATTTTAGTCATAAGAGCAATCCATCGTGTGTGCATCTTCAGACCATATCCTCTCTAATCATGGTTTGGCTTGCTATAAAGGTTCTACTGAGTAATGTGCAGATATCGTGCTGACGTGCATGCAGCCCTCTTTTCACATGCAGATCCTGAACCCTGCTTGGGCGTGACCCAAACTAATCATTTTCGTCGAGTTCCCCGCAAACCTCCGAGCCGCATCCAATTGACTGCACTCTGCAATCGCAAACACAGCAACAGCATGTCGAAAACAAAGACCAAGCGCGCCCGTCGCGAGCTCAAGCGCGAAGGTGAGAAGAAGATCTTCGCGTTCCACAAGAAGAACGCGAAAGCAGCGGCCGACTCCAAACCCACGGCAAAAACTCCAGCAAACAAGAAGCAGAAGATGAGCGCACCAAACGCAGCAGCAGCATCTACAAGTGCAACGACGCCCGCCCACGCGCCACCCCCAAAGAAGAAGCACAAAATTCCCTTCGGCGAATACGACCACATACTCCTCGTCGGCGAAGGCGACTTCAGCTTCACGCGCTCCCTCGCCATAGAACACGGCTGCGCAAACGTAACGGCAACGAGCTACGACGACGAAGAAGACGTCCACAGCAAATACCCTTCCTTTAGAGAAATCCAAACCGAACTCTCCTCCCTAACACCACCCGTCCCCCTCCACCACGACATCGACGCAACAAAACTTTCCAGCTACAAACACCTACGGTGTAACCGCGATGACGACGACGACAACGACGAAGAAGGCTGGGACACAATCGCCTTCATGTTCCCGCACACAGGCGGTCTATCTACCGACGTAAACCGACAAGTACGCGCCAACCAAGCCCTCTTGGTATCCTTCTTCAAATCCTGCCTCGACACCTCGAATCCCAAACGGCGGCTACAAATCCTGCGGAACCAGGACGATAACAAGAAAGGCAGCTCGCCCCAGCAACCCATCCGCCCTTTCCTCCGCATGGGCGGCCGGATTATCGTCACGCTGTTCGAAGGCGAGCCGTACACGCTGTGGAATATCAGGGATCTGGCGCGCCATGCTGGATTGAAGGTGGTGGAGAGCTGGCAGTTTGATTGGAGCCAGTATCCGGGGTATCATCATGTGAGGACGCTGGGGGCCATGGAGACGGGGTGGAAGGGCGAGGATAGGGCGGCGCGCATGTTTGTGTTTGAGAAGATCCCGCTCGTGGCGGATAGCGATGAGGAGAAGGAGATGGCGAGGCAGGCCAAGGTGGGCAGGGGCGGGCGGCTGCCGAGTCAGAAAGAGGCGATGAAGAGGGCGTTGGACGAAGATGAGGAGGAAGATGACGAGTGAGCTGGAGATGGCGGAGACGCTCACGGTTGAGCAATACCTCCGATACGGAGCAAGCGCATGCTTGCGGGCGAAGCGTAAAGTGGTCATTGAGCTTAGGAACAATACCCAAGGCCATGAGGTCCTTCCTATCTACACATGAAAGAACCAGGTACGCCGACCCATACCGCGCCGAGCAGATTCCCATACCAAAACGCCACGCTATACCGGACTATCATACAAATGCCGCTAGAAGAAAGAAAGAGAGACAAAACATCACATAACATAAACCTTCCGGACCTCGCTCTCAGGCCACTGCTTGCCACTCAGCCCTTCTGCCGGATCCCTCACGAACCCCTCTTCCGTGCCAACCTTCTCGTTGAAGACGCGCAGTCTCTCGGAGCCGTAGATGCGATGGTTGGGCAGTACTACGGGACTGTCTTCAACGATACTTTTAGTGTGGAGGGCGTATGGAACGTTGCGCGCCAGCTCGTTGAGCTCGGTACTGCAGATTGGGCATACGGTTGTGGTGGAGGAAGCGGCATTCGTGGAGGAGGGTGTGTAGGCCGAATGGCAGGCGGGTGTCTTGAGCGCGGAGAGACCGGCGCTCAAGGCGACGTGGAGAAGCGGCCGCGGGGGCAGGGCGTAGAGGGTGTGATGAGTCGCAACGAAGCAATCGGCTAGATGCGACCACCGTGATGCCGAGTAAAAAGACTAGAAGGACTGTTAGAGATATAAAACATGAGCGGTCTGGGGAGACTCACAGCATAAGGTTCCACCTCGTCCCACGGCCTATACGCCAACATGCCCGCCGCTCTCCTCATCAGCTCGAAATCCCCACTCGTACTCAAATACTTCTTAGCATGCGCCCTCGCCTCCATCAACTTCGTTTCTCCACCTCCGCCCCCTATGCTGACTCCATGCATACCATCATCTTGTGTCTCCAACCCATCCATACCGCTCAACCCGGCCTCGTGTCCCTGTCGTACCAACTCAATATACTGCTGCAGCCTGAGCTCGAATTCGAGCAGGCTACCCCCCTTCTTGAGCTCTTTGCCATGTTCCTTGCACCACTCTAGCGCCAATGTTGTACTCATGCCTTCCCGTAAACTCGTCTCAATCTTGTGACACGCAACGAATGCATCCACATCCACTAGCTCGGTGATCCCTTTGCTCTTCGCCAGACACGCTGCGCTCTCTGCATACCCCTCTCTTAGCAGGTAATCCACGAGTAACCGGCTTAACCGCGTGCGAGACCACTCGTCGTATTTGACGTCGACGAGACTTTGCATTTCGTACAGGTCTTGCAGATGTTGTAGGCGCGCTTTTGTGGAGCGGTGGATGCGCGCTTCTTCTTCGTGGAGGTTTTCTAGTTTGCGCTTCAGGTTGTGCATCTTGCTTATCATGGTATCAATAGAGTCGAGTGTGGCTTCTGGGGAGGCGTTCTTGGAGGCGGCTTTGGTGGCGGCGGTTAGAGAGGTGGTGAGTGCGCTGGACGAGTGTTCGATGACGCGCTGGGCGTTTTTGAAGTTGCGCCGCGAGAGCTCGTAGGGCATGCGCAGGAGTGGTTGGTCCTGTGATTGTGTTAGTAGGTAATACGGTATGTCTGGGTGGCCGGGAACGCTTTACGAGGAGGAGATGCGACTCCGCATTGAGCTTTGTACTTGTGAGCTCCGCCATGGCGGGCAGAGAGCGAGAGGAAGGAAGGAAAAGCTTCGTGTAAGAGTCGCTGTATTCCGGGTTGTCGCGGTTTCAGATAAATACAGCGGGAGCGAAGGTCTCGAAGAGTAATGGTATGAGAGTGGAAAGATGGGAGGCTTGGTGTAGATGCTTAAGCTCCACTATCGCGGTGGAAGCTTGCGGGGGTGCTCGCTCGTCACAGCTCATAGCTCACCAATAGGCACGTGCCGAACATGTACCTACCGATAGCCACATATCCGTTCTACGTAGCCTCAAAACAGCTGTCTGCACATCCTTCTTCTCGATTACACGCATGTCAAACGTCCTCTGTCCACCGGAAGCATCATGTACATACACGCACAAATACATCATCACAACTATGCGCACGACCCTTAGCATCGCAAGCAGCACCCAAGATATGGAAACAACAATACATGCTTCTATGTGATATCATTCTGATCGTAAGGCAACTCTAAAACTCCTCTAAGACCCAATGCATCATAACGCATAATCCAGATGCCTCTACCCATGCAGAACGACACTGACGCAGGAAGCGATGAGCTGCCGGCCTACTGCAGAGGTATCCTGAAACCTGCTCTAAGGCCATTACTTTTGTTGTACCTGCGTTCCACAGCTCGAAGGACGCATGCAATTTGCGAAACTATCCCCAAAATCTGCTTAGAGAGCACCAGTCGACGCCATCTTCTTGCGGAGATGGTCCTTGTACTCGCCAATGGTTCCGTCCCACCTGCGGACGGTCTTGTGCTCGCACACCATAATGTCCTTCGCGATCTTGTCAAGCAATCTATCCATTGTTAGCAGGCTGGGCAAGTAAGAGAGTAAGATTGAACATACCGGAAGTCGTGGGAAACAACAACGACACCACCGCTGAAGGCGTTGATGGCATCCGCCAAACTGTCAATAGTAGGGATATCCAGACCGTTGGTAGGCTCGTCAAGCAACAACATGTTGGGTCCCTCAATAGCGAGCAGAGCGAAGACGATACGGGACTTCTGACCATCGGACAGAGTGGCCATCTTCGATGTCTGTGCCTCACCAGTCATACCGTAGCGACCGAGCTGTTGGCGCCAGTATTGAAGATCCTGGCTGATGTGGTGGAACTTATCACGGACGAAGTCAAGGGCAGACTTGGTGAGGTCAAGCTGTTCAGCAGAGTGCTGGCTGTACACACCGAGCTTCAAGTGAGTGTGGCGCGACACAACACCGGATGTGGGGCTGAGCTTTCCGGTGAAGATGTTGAGAAGGGTGGACTTTCCAACACCGTTGGGCCCGACAAGAGCTGTTCGAGAGTCCATGTCGACACCGAAGTCCAGGTTCTCGTACAGGTTGTCCTTTGCATCTCCAGAGTAAGAGAAGGTAACGTCGTCAAGCGACAGGACAGGTGGGGGCAGCTTCTCGACGTCGGCAAAACGGAAAGTGAAGACACGGTCGACGGCAACGGGCTCGATCAGACCATCGGCCTCCATCTTGTCCAGAATCTTCTGGCGAGACTTGGCTTGCCTGACCAAGTTGGCGTAAGTACCAGCGGAAGCAATGAACTTCTTGATGTGCTTGATCTCGTCTTGCTGCTTCTCGTAGGCCTTGGTCTGGTTGACCTCCTGCTCGGTACGAGTCTTGTGGTATGTGTCGTAGTTACCTCCGTAGTAGAGGAGCTTCTTCTGACGCATGTCGATCATGTTTGTGCAGACACCGTTCAAGAAGTCCATGGAGTGGGACACGAGAACCAGGGTGCGCTCCCACTTCTTCATGTACTCCTCGAGCCACACACAGGCCTCCAAGTCCAAATGGGCAGTGGGGTCGTCGAGCAGCAGCAGGGCGGGCTTGACGAACAGCGCCTTGGCGAGGGCAACACGCATACGCCATCCACCGGACATGTCCTTTGTCTTCTTGTTGATGGTAACCTTGTTGAAACCGAGACCGGTAAGAATGAGGGATGCGCGGGTGTGGAAGGTGGACGGGTCCATGTCTTCTTGACGCTGGTTTAGTGTTAGTGGCGTGCCGCACTTTGATGTGGCGTGTACATACCTCGTAAATGTCGTCAAGGAGGGGGCTCTCGGGGCCGTCCTTCTCAAGGATATCCTCAGCCAGCTTCTCGAGACGGGCCAGCTCGTTCTCAGCCTCGCGCACAACCCACTCCAGGGCACCCAGCTCAGTCTTGGGGGCACCCATGTTCAGCAGGTAGATGTCGATGTGCTCTGGGAAGGGGAACTCGCGCTTGTCGATGGCCTTGAGCAGGGTCGTCTTTCCGCAACCGTTCTCACCCAACAGACCGTATCGGCGGCCGTAGTTGATCTCGAGAGTGGAGTCGTTGAAGAGGACCTTTCCGTGGAACACGAGCGATGCAGAGATGATCTTGACATCGCGCGACTGCTCGAGCGAGGCGAGCACACCGGTGGTGACGCGGTCGGACAGACCGTGCTTGTCCTCCTGCATGGTCAGCTTCTTGACCTCCTCGTTCAGCTCGAGGTCCTCGGCCTCGTCGCCGTTCTCAGAGTTGGCCTTGGAGGCATTCTTGGAGTTGGCCTTGGACGACAACTTGGACGTGGCCGTCTTCTTGGGCTTCGCATCGCCGTCGGCGGCGCGCTTCGCCTGGCGGGCAGCTTTTGAGGCGGAGACCATGGTGTCTTAGTGATTTATGGGTGAAGACTCTGGGGTGGTGGAGGGAGGAGGAAATTTCGTAGGGTTGGGATCAACGTCAATCTGTGCCCCGCTAAGTCTCTTATCGATAGGTGTCGATACCCAAAGGTTTCAGTTTCGGGTCCTGTTCAAAGCGCGACACTCGGATGTGAAAACGAGTGAAGTGATGAAGCGCTGGAAGTGATGTAGAAGGAGGGTATTTGAGAGTAAGAAACGGCTAGGGCTGGTCAAACAATGCGACCCTGTGAATCAATTTTCTTACTTGTGGCGAAGGCTGCGCACGGCCAATGAGCGCTCCCCCACCATCATCATAGGGCAAGTAAGGCGCTCAACCCTCGAGGCTGACACCGCTACATGCATCTTTCGTTAGGATAGTAAGTCACCAGACAGGTAGCTAGGTCCAGATCCGGGCGAAGCAAACAGTGACTTCGTATGTATTCTGTACGAATATGTTTTCTATGTCTCCAGAAGTCCCGCCATGTGCCCCTCAACGGGAAAGTACGCCATGCGCATCTTTCTATGTATATTTAGGTATGCGATGAACATGTGCTGCTCAGATCCCGTTTTGGTTCAAAGTTACGAAACGATGAAGAGTATCGTTAGTATTAGGCATCACCTGTGTGGTTGTTGAGCATTGTGGATACCCCACGAGAGAGCGATGATCGTCATAGTTCTTATCTTCACCAGCCTCAACAGCGATAAGCGCCGTCTATATACCGTGACTGCTCCCGCTGTTGCTCGGCACCATAGTGAACTCAGCACTGCTCCTTTCGCTATCCGCTTCTTCCTTTTCTGAATCTACCGTTTTTATCTCCTCGTCAACCCTCTCTCGTAATTTTCCTCGTAACTTTTCCAGTACTCTCGTCTCTTCCGCATTCAAGTTCAAATCGTCTGGCAACGTAATCCGGGCGCCGTTGATCTCAATCCTGTGCCTTTCGCAGTCATAGTGTTGCTCATCTGCACTCTTCTTTCGTTTTAAACCGCCCGTCGCATCTGGCACCACCTCTTCATCCCCAATCTTCACTTTCTGCAGATCCAAAGGGGTCCACCAGTATATCGGGAACTGCCTCTGGATGTTGTTGATGACCAGCCCAACTGCAATCATAAGAGTAGTGCCCCACAGAACGAGTCCGACGAAGTACCAGCCCATGGCTGTGATGACAGGGTCTGTTGCTGCAAGCACCGCGGATGCGCCGCCCGGTGGATGCACAGTATTGGTCAAGAGCATGACGGCAGATGCGCAACCGCATGCTATAGCGCCTGCAATCCATCGTATCGAATCGAATTCCGAGTGATATTGGAACAACTTCGATATGCCGACGCCGATGAGTGCAGATATTCCATGGCCGAGGAGAGCATTGCGCGGTTGACCGAGTGGCGAGCGTATAGAGTTGTACTCAAGAATCGCAGAGGCACCCTGGATCACCGGTCAGCACAACAGATCACGCTCGTACCAGCAACAAGTAACGTACAAATGAAGCGATCAACGCTGGCGGCTGATGCCATTGTATGCTGTCCGTATTGTTGAAGACTGCCGCTACGACCGCCAGACCGCAGAACGCGCCCAACAACGACCAGAACGCTCCAAGTATGTTCCCAACATCTTGACGCGTCTCCCTTCTATACCCAAGGAACCTCGACACCGGCGTCGGAAGCTTGTGCAGCGGTGAAGGAGGAATGATGCGATTGAGGTAGCGATCGATATCAAGGTCCCATTCCCTGGCTGCAGAGAACACACTCATACTGACCAATGTAAACACAAAACAAAAAAAACCTTTCCATGCGAATGGATAAGTAAAACAGAAAGCAGATCAACAGCTCAAAGAGATTAAAGTTCAATGGCCCCGGGAGCGGACCGTCAAAAGCACGAACGTGCAACCAAAGTCCCTCATCGCGCAATTTATTCCCGGATCCAGCTGTCAAACAACGGTACTTTGTCCGCTCCTGCACCATTCGAATGCGCAAATATGCCCATTTACTCTGACGTTGACCTTGCACATGCGCGACGATCTGAGTAAAGGTCCACGCGCAGCAAGTTGGGCTTTACGTAAAATTACGTACCACAAATACAGCTGCAACATGGCTTTGTGAACATCTCCTCGGTTCCGCGGATGCGATTCTGAGTATTGGAATTAGGGCACTGAGATGTTTTTGAGTGAAGGAAGTTTATTGTAGGTAGCTAAATGATCGCTGGAGCGATGGGATCACAGTCAAAGGGTAAACCTTACCCGCAGCCTTCTACCCACCATTGACAATAAAAGGTAATGGGTTGCAATAATTTACACACCTGCCATATCCATCGAGGTGCGCAAGCTATCGCGGTGTATGAGATTGTACTCCTTACCGTACCTGCAAGCCCCCGTGGCAGTTGGACGAGCTGTGGCATCCCTGCCATTACTACGCTAGACAGCAGCTTACATGGATCTCACCTGAGTGTAAGGACAGCACACACGACTAGGAGAAGGCTGTTAATCAGAAGCTGTGAAATTCACAAGTAGGAAAATGCATTCATTAGACAGCGTACTATACTGTGATGTAAACGGGTATAACACTCTTTGAAAAGGTATCGAAAGGTACCGAGGTGCTATGCATCGTTCCGATCGTTGAACTGCGCTCCATGTTTGTAACGCCTGTGGTAAAACAAAAAAGTGTTTACCGTAGATCGATCGATCCCATGCGTCGCTGACCGACAAACGCCTCATGAATAATGCGACAACCCGAAACCCATGTCATCATTACTCCTGTGAAGACGTGAAACTGCTCCTGCAACTAGGTACCACGGAAAAGGAACTGCAAATCCTCAGGGCTGAGGCGGTCCATGGCGACCTTGTCGTTGTTCACGGTACCAGCAATCATAGCGGCCTTCTTTTCTTGCAACGCGACCATACGCGACTCTACACTGTCCTCGATACAGAGGCGAGTAATCACACAAGGTCGACGTTGACCGATACGATGGCATCGGTCGGCAGACTGCCACTCGGCTGCTGGGTTCCACCACCTGCGTCTTATTAGCGTTCTGTGGAAAGATATGGCAAAGATTGATACTTACGGGTCAACGATGAATACCCTGGATGCCTCAGTAAGGTTGAGAGCGACGCCACCAGCCTTGAGGGAGACAAGGAAGACCTCAACATCCGGGTTGGTCATGAAGTGATCGATGCTCTTCTGGCGCTGGGCAGGAGTCATGCTGCCATCTAACATGACGGTATTGAAACCGGCACGACGCAGACGCCACTCAATGAGCTGCAACATCGACGTGAACTGACTGAAGACGATGGACTTGAGTGTCTGCTTCTTGCTCCGAAGCTTGTAGAGGTCGTATACCAACATCTCAATCTTGGTGGAAGAAGTCCAATTCTCCATCTTGATGCGGTTGATGATCGACGTCTTTTTGACTGAGTCCTCGTCTTGCTCAAGCTCTGGCTGTTCAAAGTCGATGGACAAGGCAATGTGGCAGCGAGGACAGTCTGCGTCCGTGCCAGAGGCTTCGCAGGTATCCATAAAGTCCTTGATGCAAGCGCGACAGAACTCGTGACGGCAGTGAGAACGTACCGCGTCCTCGGCGGGCTCGTCGCAGATATTGCACACGTAGACGTTACCAGCACCTTCGGCCGCATTCTTCTTTAGCAAAAGATCGGGATGGTTGGCGACCTGTCTCATCTGCATGATAAGACCGAAGATGTTGGCGTAGTTGTTGAGCATGACACCCTGCGCAACGTAAGTATCAAACTTGCGGGCGGAGTTCGACATGATCGAGGTTGAGAAGTCGCGCTCCACCTCACTGAAGAACTCTTGGTGGATGATGATGTCCTTCATCGGCAACTCCATGGAGTTGGTATGATCGCGCTTCATACGTCGTAACATGATGCGAGCAGTGATCAAGTGAAGCTTTGTCAGGGCCTCCTCGCGGAGCTTATGGTCATCGCCAGTGATTGGGTTGAGCAGCTCCTGGTTGAACACTGAGATGTGCTCAGAAGCACCGTGGTTGCAGGCAACACACATGTGGTCATCGTCGGTGGCCCAATGCAGCTTCTCGCACTTGCATGAACGGCAGAAGTAGTCCGCAAATGGACGAACTTCCAGGAAGCGAAGAAGTGAGAAGAACTCTCCGATGCGATTCTGGACTGGCGTGCCAGACAAGCACCACTTGTAGTCACCAGTCAGCGCAAAGCAAGCCTTAGCTACACCGGTGTTGCGAGACTTGATACTATGCGCTTCGTCCAGGATAAGGCGGTGGTAGTGGATGGCGTGGAGTGGTGATGCCTCCTTGATGATGTCCTCACCGCGAGACCATCCTTTGGTTTCCTTGCGATGCAGCGATTCCAGAGAGTTGTACGAAACCATGATTACGTCGTAGGACTTGAGCTCCTTGATCGACATCTTCTTGCACTTGGCGTTCGTGCCGTGGTATACCAGAACCTTGAGCTTGTTGTTCGTGTACTCGCGGATCTCGTTGGACCATTGCATCAGAGCAACTGGCGGGACACATACGAGCGTTGGCTGCTTTGCAGGGTAATCGGACATGATCAGGGAGACAGCCTGGATAGTCTTGCCCATACCCATCTCATCTCCGAGCAGCCCACCCTTGTAGTGAGTCTTCTCCTGCCGAATCATCCAGCTAAGACCTTCAAGTTGAAATGGCTTCAATCGTCGGGTAATAGACTCTGGTTGCTCTGCCTGCTGAACCTCCAGGACGGGGATGTCTTCCAGAGTCTTCCACATAGTCTTCAGCTTTGGATGCTGTTGCTCTGCTCGTTCACGGTTCATGGCCCGCTTCCGCTCCCACTTGTCCGCGATGTGCGCATACCTCGCCCGACGATCAGTCGCTTCGTCTTTGTCGCCGCGAGTGAGCTTCTTCTTCCGGCCTCCAGATGCTTTCGGTTGGCGCGCCGCAGCAATCTTCTTCAGACGGTCACTTGTCGTCATCAAAGGCTCTTCATCGCTGTCGCTAGCCATTGGTGTCTCGACATCGTTAAGCAAAG